CCTTTTGAGCAGCGTCAAGCGAACCACTTGGCTCCAGCTCCCCTACTCTCTCCTTTTAAGCGGCCCCAGAAAATATTTCTGTGTGATAACTCACCCCCTGCATCTTTATTTCATGAGAGAATGCCGGGAATGCCAGCTTACTGTTCACCGAACAAACGTCTCTACAACTCCTGAACAGGCCTCTGTTAATGCGTGTACACGTCGCCATCAACTTACATTGATCATTTCAGTTTAACTTTTCAATGACAGCCACCCTGGTTCTTACGCATCACTCCGATTTTGTAGAACGTGCGGAGTATGCTCCTCAATCTCCACGTGAATGCAAGTTGCTCCAACGATAAATAAAATGAATGGTTACTCTTGAGATACCCTAACATAGAGACCCGTTCTTGATGCCAGCGCTAGTCCTATGTGTACAACAAGCTTAAAGAGAACAAGAAAAATCATCTCTCTCGAGAAAATCCCTGTCCATTCCTTTGGCCCATGGTGTTCGATTCTCGTATACCCGTCTCCGTCTGTTGTAAAAGAAGAACAAAACGGGAAATTGAAGACACAACAGACAAAGTCATTTTATCCTTATAGGGTGAATGCATTGAACCCACATAACGGAGGCAGCATGACAAACTAACTAGGTAGATCAGGGGAACATCCCTTACAGCCTCCCGGATATTTCATACATGGCCTGGAGCCTTGGCAGACAATCTATGAAGCAGCCCTCGTCCGCCAGACCTTCTATAATGAACTCCCTGTGTGCTACAAAGCCGTCCTGTTGTCCCGTCAATGCCTCCTAACACTTCTAGCCAGAGTCCAAGACCTTGTCCCACACCACTTAACTATATCCGAGATGATATGCATGAAGCGCGAAATCCATATTAAATTTAACTCTGTCTCACGGTGCACCTATATCTCCATCTATACTACTTGAGGGTTAAGCGGAGTGTCAAGATGGTGAACTGATGGAATATTCCGGGGCTCCGCCTTTATACGTGTCAACCAGGCGGAAAGGAAGGCAGATCCCAATGGGAGACGCGCAAGAAGTAAATACCAGTCGATATGAGAATACGTCTCAACAGGACCGCCTTGCACAGACGCATCTTTTAGTGGCTGCTTCACGATATACCCAAGCATGGACATGGGGCGTATTCGCCGACAAGCTATGATTGGCGCAAAGTACGAAAACCGTTAGGAGAGAGCGCTTACATTTGAAGATCTCGATTCCATCTGCCCATCCATGTTGTTTGTACCATGCCAACACGTCGATGTGTGGAAATAAGCAGAACCATATGATTGGCAGTGCGCATGTCACACGCCATTACTATGTATGTCAAGGCAAAGGAGGCGAACAGTCGATGCTGGATGGTTTGATATGATATAGCTCGACATACCCGGTTCCTGTGGTATAACCATCAACTATGCCTTGCAGGCGGTTATTATGGCCTCCTGCTTTAGTGACAACATATTACGTGCGTGGTTACTATTTGGCAATAGCCAGATGCAGCTTGCCATCTCTTCTTCCTATCGTACTCCGTTCTCCCACATACCCCATACTGCATACGGAGCCCCTCTCGTCTTCCCTGGGGGCGAAGTAGACGACGTGAGAGTTGCAAAATTGCCTGCCCCAAAGTGTCCGTCCGCCTGGAGTTGCTATTCTCTGACGATGCCATCTCATTCAGCCAACCTTCACCTTTCTTTTTCCTCTTGCTTCCCCTCACCATTCTTGCTTCGGACAAGACCGACCTTCGGCCATCTGGGATCAAATAACTACCGAACTTAGCCACGAATCATGGCGATTTCCACGGAGCACGAGAGAAGAAGGGTTCGAGGTCAGATCCAGGCTCGCTGCCTGACCACCGACCTCTTGGCCGCTTGAGATTATACTCTTGCTCTTAAGCCTTGTCTAATATCACTTTGTATCAGTTCGATATCCAGGGTGCTATGACCTGCTGTTGCTGTCTTTTTTTTTTCTCGCTTGCTCAGCCCTCCCGGTCCGATGGTGAAGCCCACTATCCAGTTTCGGCTGTTCGGCAAGACTACGTCAACAGGACGAAAGGACGAAAGGAACATGGAGAAACGATGGTAGTTTATAGACGATGTTCTAACACAGAGAAATAATCCCGCAAAACCCTCCCCTACTCTCTCTCCTCCCGTTCATTTTTCTAGAATAGGAGAAAGGATTACATCCCGGCTGGCTTACGAATCATAGTTGAAATTCATGTTGCCTCATTCATGCTTACGTTTGTTTGGAGGCGTTGCTCAGCTGATTATCTTTTAGGGTTGGAAACTGCTTCTATAACGCCGAGCAACTTTCTCTTCTGTGAGGTAATTTTGCGGCAGATATCATAAAGCGATATTTTAACATGGGACATCTGGTAGAGCCGGGGATGCATGGATGGTACCTACATATGTTACTTGAACGATGCAGGCGGGAAAGCCTATAATGTGATATGCCAAATCTACAAGATATCAAGTACTTAATTACCTCAACCACGTACAAGATATACTGGCAGCCAACATGTATATCGGCCAGGGACTACATGTCACTACAAACAAGCTTTTATAGAGGTATCTCCATGCCAGGGAGCCGCATAAAAGTAGAACCTCAAATCCTCAGCAAGCATGGGGATTTGTATCGTAGGGCTATCCTACGATGTCCAAGCCGTTCGTTCATGTCTGCGGATACACGATATAAACCGCATGATGTCTATATCGACGCCGCAAAAATCCACCGTTGTCATCGAAACTCTCTGACCAAGATACCAATAGCCATCCATATGCCACCAAGGAAGCAAAGAAATCAGAGTTAAGCCTCAACCACTTCCAGGAATGTTTCATGACACCGCAAAGGGTGTCGGTAGCATGGTTCACAACCGCATGGCAAGGGAGCAGTTTCTCCATCTTCATGAGCCCTCACACAGCATTAAGGTAGGCATGGTATGTATGGTATGGCATAGCATGGCATGGCATGGCATGGCATCATAACAACCCAAAGATGGAGCTCACGAGGCTGTCATCTGTGAAGGACTCAAGAATATCAAAACGGTGACACCTACACGGAACCATCATCCTCTTTATGTGTAGCGTGGTACATGACCGACGGTTGACTTCGAAAAACCAGAGGAGAGAAAGGAAGGGGGTGTGGGAAGGAGGAGGAATCTTGTCAATAGCATTAGGCCTTTGATTCGTGGGAGAATAGAAGAGAAAAATGCAATTTTATAGAAACCGTTATAAACAAGAAACAGGATCCCACTCCTATAGAAAAGAAAGGATAGTGGGAAAGGAATCTTTTTTGGAAAACAACCTTGCCAGGCATTGCGTTAAATAGAGATATATCTGGAGGAGGAAAGGGGGTTTAAAGGTAGGTGAGGGCTGGAGAAGGGGGGAAAAGATCAAAATAGGAGGGTCATCACTTCGAGTCAGCGCTCTTTTTGGCGAATTCAACACGAAGAATCAAGTGTCGATAACCAACTAGATACCAGTTAGCTCGAGCTCGAGGCATGGCATAAAATGGCAGGACAATCAACTTACAGCCGTCCATCTTCTCACAAGCACGAGCAGCATCACTCCTGTCCACGAAACTGATGAAGGCAAAGCCCTTGGCCATATTTGTTTCTCTGTCCTTAGCAAGGAAGACTCGCGTGACTCTTCCAAACCGCTCAAACATATCGCGAAGCTCTTGTTCTTCCGCTAGCTCGGAAACCTAAAGGTTGAAAAGCAAGTTAGCTAGACGACCACTTAAAAGAAGAGCAAGAGATCTTCCAGAACGGCCAGCTCCACATGAAAAAGAAGGGACAGGGATAGCTCACGTTGGTAACGCGTAGTGTCGCCAGATCATCCCTCTCATACTTGCCACCCATCTTATCACCAGCGCCAGCACCACCTTTCCTCATAGCAGGAGGAACATAGCTTCCTCCGCTCTGACCCAGCCCACCAGGAGCCGGCTTGTCATCACCGCCATCCATATCCGCGCCCGCTCCTCCAGCACCCTCGTCAACAGGCGCCATGGTATCTTTAAACGGACATCTCGCAGTGAAATGCTCCCCGTTACAAATTCGGCATTTAACCTTCTTATCCTTCAGCTGCTCCTTCATACTGCCCTTCTCGCCCTCTTTCTCCGCCTCCTTCGCCTGAGCCTTCCAGTTCACGCTAGGTCGGAATATAATGTTCTCTCCGACGGAAGTGGTATCGAACGAAGGGCCGGGTGGGTGGCCCTTTTCCAGACCGAATTTAGCCCATGCTCTTCGCTCGGCTACGCGGGGGTTAACGTGTTCTTTGACTACTGTTGTGCGGATGCGACGGGTGGTCTTGACTTTCCTGCCATCGTCGTCGAAGCGGTATGATATCACGGTTTTGGTGCCGTCTTTGTTCGTGAGAACTTGCTGGGGTGGAAGGGCATTGGCATCATCAAAGTCCTCGTCGTCAGCCCAGTCGGCTCCCCTAGAAATACATAGTTAGTGGATGAAGCTGATATCAGAAGCATGTGCAGCTGGCAAGTTAACCTACTTTGCAGGCTGTGCCATGTTTTCTGTCTCTTTTGTCGGTCCTATTCTCTTCTCTATCTGCTATTCTCAGGTAGAAAAATAGCAGAGCTTGTGGTGGTTTGATTAAAGCGGCTTCTTTTGCTTCGTTTTCTGTGCCTTCTGGCTTAATTTTTGATATCAAGAATTTCGTGGAGGCGCAAGTTTATCTTTGTGCCCGCTATGGATTATGTAAGCACACCGAGGAAAAATTTGGTTGCTTCGACTTCAACATTTGATATTAAGGAATAATACTCGAGTTAGGGGAGATAGCATATTGACTCGTCTAGTGCATCATAATAAATGGTTTAAATTCGGATATATACATTTGGAGAAAAAAACACAAGGTATGTAAGGCAACCACCTTAAGGATCAGTGTAAGAGCAGTCTTTCAAAGGTCCAACGCACGCGAAACGCCGATATACCGGCCGGAGACATCGTATATAGGAAGAGGAAAAAGGGAACGAAAGAGATTGTAGGCCTGGCTTAAAGCTTAGGCTTGGAGATATAGGCGTTGCCCTTCTTGATCCAGGCGACAGCATCATTGACGAGCTCATCAACGATGTCCTTGGCTGGCTTCTTCTCGTCGACGACGGCGGCAGCCTTGCCCATGAGGTGTGGTCGGGCGTTGTCGACAGTCTCGTCGTCGATATCTTCCATGTTCTCAAAGTCGTGCTCAACAGGGATGATACCCTTGCTGGTGAGCTCCTTGATCTCCTCGGCACGGTTCTCCTCCCAGTTGGTGATGTATGCGTTGTTGCGCACACGCATGGGACGGCCCTAGAACGTGGGTTAGATAGGACTAGTTAAAAAGAGCAGAGTATAAAAGATTGACGTACAGTGAAGATGATGGTTCGGACGTTGTCGTCGAAACCGGCGGTGCGGACGGCCTCCTGGTGGTCCTTGGGGGCGCCGGCCTCATCAGCTAGGATGAACCGAGTACCGACCCAGACGCCGGAGGCACCGAGCATGAGGGCGGAGGCAACGCTCTGGCCATTGAAGATACCACCGGCAGCAACAACCTGGACCGGCAGGCCGGTCATGGGGCTGGTCTTGCCCTGGCAGAGCTTGGCCACGGTAGGAATGAGGATGCTGGTGGGAACGTCTCCGGTGTGGCCACCGCCCTCACCGCCCTGGGCACAGATGATGTCGACACCGACGTCCAGGCACTTCTGTACATGCTTGGGGTGGCCGATCATGTTCATGTAGAGGATTCCGGCTGCGTGTAGACGGTCCACGACGTGCTTTGGTGGGACACCGACGGCAGACACGAAGAGCTTGGTACCGCTCTCGATGACAACGGTGATCAGCTCGTCGAGTTTTCCCTTGGTGTAGTCGTAGCTAGTTGCCGTTAGCAAAAGTAACCTCGTTATTCTCCGAGGCGAAGGCAACTCACTTGGTCTTTCGAGCGTTTCCTCCGATCTGTGGAAGCAGCAGGTCGACTCCGAATGGAGCATTCTTATCGACGAGATGGCTCTTGATCTCCTCTACCTGCTCTCTCAGCATGTCTGGGGTGTAGCCGAGGCCACCGATAACTCCCAAACCTCCAGCATTGGTGACAGCGGCAGCGAGCTTAGGACCAGCCGCAACGTTCATGCCAGCAAGGAGAACGGGGTGTCTGATCTTCAAGAGATCTGTGAGAGGAGTCCTGATCTGTTCTGTTCCGTCGCATAACCAGTCAGTGTACTTGTTTCTTCATGTTCCCTCGTCCGGGCGCCGTCCTCGCGCAAAACTTACGTGGAGAAGCCATGGTTGACTGAACGATACTCTAGCAAGAAAGAGGCGTAGATATAGGTTGAACGGGTTATATAACAGCTGCGGCAGTGAAGAGAGCAAAGGCGAAGGGGAAGAGAGAGAAGAAGCGAGGGAGACTTTTGGGGCGTCGAGGCAGTTTTTATCCTCGTGAAGGAAGAAAAAGAAGCCTCGGCTCAGACGGGCCAAGCTTGGGGTAAACCTGGATTTTGCCGAGCTTCATCTATAACGATGGATGTATGATGGACAGCAGTGTACGATGGACAGCAGTGTACGATGGACAGCAGTGTACGATGGATACTGAGACACTCTTATGCAGGCTCGTTACCCTTATACTCGATGGGTTTACTATTATTGAGATTGTACCGTCTATATTACCTTGTATACAACTAGATGAAGTACTTCCACGTTAACATGTTATATTTTAATGACTTCAAATGATCTCTCTGCTCACAACTGTCTTCTCCTTGACTACCATAAAGACATCTACATAATACAGCAACTTCTGCGGGCAGATAATAAATCCTCCATCCATGCGAACTCGACGGAGTGAAGGAAGACGTGATGACTAAGCATCTGATGCTTTGAAAACGACAAACGACGAAGTTGAGCTCTTCGAATGTCAAACGGAAGAGATGAGTCTGCTCTATCGCAAAGGTCGAGGTCTGGCCGGCTCTCTAGGCTTTTGCAGTGGGCATTGGAGCCCGCAGCCCTGCTACAGCGGCATCAGCACGTAAGGATGTATACACCCTGGGCTGCATAGATATGAGACGCTGACAACAGCGAAGGTTGCCAGGCCTGATCAATGATACCCCACTTACGTCGAGAAGGCAGCATGCGAGATTCAGTACCAGCCCCGGAACTGCTTCATTTGACCCTTTTGCAAAGGCATCCCCGCTAAGCAGCCCCTCCGGTGGTAGCGGGGACCGTAGCTACAAGACCCAGGCCCGGCAGAAGAATGGTTCATCCGGGTTATCTAGACAGCAGACCAGGATAACTTGCTCCAATATTCACGCCGGTGCTGGCGTTTCTCTTAAACTAACCGGGTATGGCTGTCGACTGGCGTCTACGTCGACCATGGCCAGCGGAGATCCGACACATCGAGCCTTTATTGCTCTTGGTAGCAACCTGGGAGACCGTGTAGCCATGATAGAAGAGGCCTGTCGAGAGATGGAGGCACGGGGTATCAGGGTCAAGAGGACAAGCTCCCTCTTTGAGACCGCCCCGATGTATGTGACGGACCAGGGAACCTTCCTTAACGGAGCATGCGAAGTCAGTTGCCCCAACCGCCTATATTATGCAGAAGCAACTTATTCTTTCTAACGCTGTGTATAGGTTGAAACATCCAAGAGCCCAATGGAATTACTGGATACGCTGCAGTCGATAGAGAATGACATGGGAAGACTCAAGATCATCGATAAAGGCCCTCGTAACATAGACCTTGACATCCTCCTATACGACCGTCAGCCGTTCTCCAATGAGCGTCTAATAATTCCTCATAAACTCATGCTTGAGCGGGAATTTGTCTTGCGCCCTCTTTGCCAGTAAGAACTGCTACCATCTTTATTATATCTGACCCGTTGCTGATAATGATGGCTCAGGTTAATACCCAACGACTATCCTCTAAAGGAGGGAAAGGATAAAACATATACCTCGCACTTACAAGCTCTTCCTCCCTCCGACCAACCCCCTGTGGCAATCATACCAATGGCTGCGGGTCTTCCCCAGATCAACCCCACCCACCCCGGACGAAGCACTCTCTTAATGGCAGTCCTCAACCTAACCCCGGACTCCTTTTCTGATGGTGGAGCTCACTCACCAACAGATCCAGTAGCCCTGCTTGAAACCGTCAAGACATACATAGATGCTGGCGCAACTATAATCGATGTAGGGGGCGAGAGCACCCGTCCCAACGCCGACCCCATCACCGAAGCCGAAGAACTAGCCCGTGTCTTGCCAGCCATAAAACTCATCAGGTCCCTCCCCGAAGCTTCCAAGGTCGCCATCAGCATCGACACGTACCGTGCCACTGTAGCCGAAGCAGCCGTTAATGCCGGTGCGGATATAATAAACGATATATCTGCCGGCCTAATGGATCCAAACATGCTCTCTACCATGGCCCGTCTCCAGAAAACCGTCATGCTCTCCCATACGCGCGGAACGCCAAAGACCATGAATGAGCTCACCAACTACCCCGATGGTGTACTAGCTGGCATCAAAGCGGAGTTATCAGAACGTATCCGTGCCGCTGAAGAAGCTGGTGTCAGGCGATGGCGCATCATCGCTGACCCGGGCGTGGGCTTCGCCAAAACCCAAGACCAGAATCTCACTATTCTCAGGAACCTTGACCAGCTAAGGCAGGCAGAGGGACTGGAGTATCTGCCTTGGCTGGTGGGTGCTAGTAGGAAAGGATTTATAGGCCGTATCACAGGCGTCCAGAAAGCCGATGAGCGCACATGGGGTACCGCAGCTGCTGTCACGGCAGCAATCGGCGGTGGAGCGGATATTGTACGTATTCACGATATCAAGGAGATGGCCCAGGTTACCCGTATGGCCGATGCGATCTTCAGACGGGACTCGTGACATTTAAACCACTGAACGCTCTGGATGTGGACGCCGCTGTAAAATTTCATGTATACCACTTTTTATAGGATGAACAGGCCATTTAGTTTCATTTCACAGCCGAACAATTACTTACCTTCTCTTTTGCAGCCCAATAGTATGCCATAGGCCATACATAGCCTAATAGAGTAAGTAATCGGGGAATAGGAGGATACAAATCTATACATTTATAATTCAATCTTCATATCCCTATTATGCGCGCCCATATATATAGGCCGGTTACTTTTCCCTCAAGAGTCATCTCCTGCCTCAAAGGAACTAGGATACCTCCTTCAAATTTTCTTTCAGTAGATGTCATCAAACCAAAACTGTTCGAAATATCTTGCCTAACAGTCAAACGAATAGGTGCAAGTCCATGATGACGTTGAAGTCATTCGGAGAGTTCTGGGTCTGTGCAGCGGACCGAAACTTAAATAGTTTAACTAATACCCCGCGTGCTTATACAGAGTCACCATGGGTAGAGATGCAAATAGTTGGGATATATATACAAGGGAATAAGTCAACGGTTTATCCAGGGCTTGCTTATAGTTGGCCTTGAAACATATTTTCAATATCACGTATTGTCCGGTTGAAAGCTGCTAGAAGGTATTAGGGCCATTGTTTCCACACCAATCGGATGCCTTGCACTGAGTCTCTACAAGAGATGTACATTTTGTAGTCTTCTTCTAGATCGCGGAAGAATAGTTCAGCGTAAAGGAGAGCTAAGTGTTCTATCCATGCACTCCTTGAAAATAAAATGTTGATTCTAGTTTCTCGTCTGTATGACTTGGGTATAGTTCAGGGATATAGTAGCATAGCTCTTTCTTGGATGGGATCTATTGAAATTTAGAGGAAGTTATAACTGGATGAGATGGGTAGCTTACTTTCGTAGCCAACGATGGTACCCTTGTTGTACCAGGGGTATTGATTATAGAAGGGTGGATAGCCTCTTACTAAAGTATTGAATGTAATGAACCCGAAAGATACCAAATCACCAAGTCATAATGAAGAAAAGGTCATGCAGCTGTTCTAGCTATAATTTTAAATCATCCATCAAGAAAGCCCCGTGAATAAAAATTCATGGCCGAATGCCAAAGCAAAGGTGCGGAGGGTAACAATTTCAAGACAGGGAGGCTTGGAGAGCAAAGAGCGCACATACACATTAAACCCGCGAATAATTCATAAAACCCATCTCGCCCACCACCAGGTGCATATTCCCGACTCCCATAAGCTATGATTTAACCTAACAGTGGGATTAATGGTGCAGGAGTATCTCATGACGAAACCCAAGTATACATTTATTTTACCCTCCAGTTTTTGTTAAATAGCAGGTCAAAAAACTCCAAGATGCTGTATTAAACTTGCTTGAAGAAAGAGAAGGCCAGAAGACCAAGAAGAAGTTGGGGTAAACCATAACCGTATAGAAAGGAGGGGTTTGACATTATTCTCAGTCTTTGCACCTAAGACTCAGCTATTAAGGTAGTGACGGATGGCGCCTATGAAGAGTTTGTCAGTTTTGGGCCCAAAAGGGAGATTTTAAATTGAATAAAAATGTTGAATCTAAACATACCGTGGAGTTTAACAGCACCGTCACCAACTAAGTTGGTCAAATTCTCGAGATCATCGCCAGCGGTAATCCCGAATTTTCGAACAAAGTCTTTGGCAGCCGTTTCCAGGTCACCGTAGTCATCACCTGCTGCAAGTTCATCCTCAGGGCGGCCAAAGTAAGCATTACTTGATATGGAGGTAGCTCCCTCAAAGTTGCTAAGACGAGCCTTGGCCTCCGCCTGAGCTGCAGGGTCAAACTGCTCTCTACCGAAAAACTCATCAGATGAGATGCCCTTCTGGTTGCCAAACTTGGATCTTGTTTGTTCTAATTCTTCCTCTGATTTAATTAAGTTAGCAAGTGAACAAGATAAAACAACAATTCAAGAGGCTTCAAACGCATACCATCAACGCCCGTATTTGCGTGTCCAACAGCACCAAATCCTAGCTTCTTTGGAGCTGGAGCTTTAGGTTTGCCAACTTGTCCAAAGCCGAGACGACCCATGCCCATGCCCAGCCTCTCAACCTCGCTTGCACTCCTTTCATGGCTCCGTGTGGTTCCGAAGCTAGATCTGGGACTCACTGGTTTGGGCGAAATGATCGAGGAAGCAGATTTTCCCTTCGCGGCCGCTTCCTCTTCGGCCTTCTCGGACTCAGGATCGTAGCCTAACTTTGCAATTCTCTCCGCTTCTTCCTTTGCCTTTCTCTCTGCCTCATCAAAATCGATAGCGTCCGCCCCAACAACCTTCTTTGCACCCAACTTGGGTCCCTTCTTGGCTCCAAGGACTGACGTTTTCTTTCCACCGGCAGTTGGTCCCTTGCGGACCGCCGTACCCGTCCGGACAGCAACAGGGGGAGATGGAGACGTTCCTTTTTCGGCAGAGAGTGGAGACTTGGGTCTCGATCCGTTACCGTTGGATCCTGGAGTGAGGAAGGGCGAGCTGCGCCCTCCAGAAGCCGGTGTGCCAACGCGAGATGGAGGATTGCTTGGCCGTTTGATGGATGGCTTGTCCCACGAGGAAAAGAAATCGTCGTCAGGATCGCCAGCGGGAGTGGAGGACCCTTCTGGAGTCGCCGATGCAGCCACATCTGTGATCACGACCTCTTCAGGATATCTATGTTTGTGATTTTCAACCTAAAGTCAGCCACAAGGTGCTACAATCTCCACAGGATAACAAGATCATTAGGCATGCAAGACATACTCTTCTGCATCTTGGGCTGCTCGTCGCTTCAATTCTTCCTTGTACTTCACCGCCGCGCTGGAAGTATATTTTATCTTCGAGTCTTTGCTGTTTAGCGCCGCTGTCCCACCATGTGACTGGAAATATTTGGTAGCCGATTCATTTCCGCCCACTTTCATGACGCGGAGCTGTTCCCATTGCCATTCTAATCAATTTTCTCCATTAGCATGTGCGATCGACATCGAGATTCTATAATAGGCGGTGAAACACACGGTCAAGATTGGTTGAGCGAACGAACGAGATATGGACACCGAGATTTCGATGGTTCGACGAGCAGTCAAGACATAGGTATATTCCAAAGGGAACAGAAGACCACGTCGGATTTTTCGACCCGCAATCAAAACATATCTAGCTGGTAATCAGTCTACGGTTCCGTCAGGGGGCGGAGCGGAACGGCGGGGGGAACATACCTTGTTTGCGGGTTTCGTCTTTAGTTTCTCAAAGATTTTCTGAGACTGCGCCTTTGTAGCACTCATGGTTGTCTAAATATCGTCTTCCAGTTAAGCCAAGCAGGAAAAGAGCAGCAAGCTGGACTTCTACAAGGCCGGGTAAAAGAGAGTGAAAATGATGAAAAGAAAAGGAAGAGAAGAATCGCGCTTCTTTTTTTTCTTCTCTCGGAGTTCGACTTGCCTTTTGCGTCTTTCTGCCACTCTGGCCGCCCTCGCCGCACCTTGCCTCTTTAGGACATCACGTGTTAAACCTCGGCATTGATGATATAATCATGACATAATTATGTACTGACATAAGCAATTTCATTATGTAATCTTTAAGCAGCCAGAAGAGGAAATTTATAGCTTCTTCAAACAATTCTACGGGGAAGACGAAGACGACGACGAAGAGGAAGAAGAAGATGGGCAGTTCATGAAGAGATAATATATTATTTCACCGACAAATGATGGTTGGCTCTACGACGTCATGAATTCCTCAATTCAACTTCACTCGCTTAGGTCTGGACCTCTGTTCGTTCGCCTGGTCAGAAACAGCGGCAGGCCAGTTAGTCTATCCCTTACACGATACAATCACTATGCGACCCAGAGCAGTCTCAACAGTTCCAAGAGCGCACAGCCGACGAGAAAATCGATTACCGTGACCAGTGATGATGGAACAATCAAATGGGGGCAGCTTTCGCGTGGAGAAAAAGCGGCACGAGCTACGCAGCAGTCTGTCAATTTCCTAGTCATTTTGGCCGGCGCAGTTATGACGGTTAGTTTGGAGGCTTGCTGCAATGGGTTGCGGAGCGTTGATGCTGCATATGCAGGCGAATAGAAGCTGACCGGAACGTTATATATACCTGCAGTGCGGAGTTTTCACGTTTCTATACCTTGATGTATTTGCGCCCGACAGCAAAACGAACCAATTTAACCGTGCAGTTAGCCGTGTAAAGGACAGCGAAGAGTGTATTGCCTTGCTGGGGGATAGCAACAAGATCAGAGCCTACGGGGAGACGTCATGGAATAAGTGGACGAGAAACCGTCCAATTGCGTAAATAGCCCAACGCCCACCGATATTTTACGCGATAATGTCGAGATTCAACTAATCAATTCTTCCAGCACAACAATTGAGAAAGACAGGAAAGGAAATGAACATATGAGGATGAACTTTCATGTACGTCATACTCAAAATCGACCTTTCGGATTGATTTCTCCAAATTTACAACACTAACAACGTCACCAGGTCAGTGGCCCACTTAACGACGGTGTTGTGCTAGTCCACTTGGTCAAGCTGGCGGGCCAACATGACTTTGAATACCACCTTCTCGCGTTAGACGTCAAAGGTAAGCGAAAGGATTCATCCTCAGCCTTTCTCAAAGTGGGCGGTGCTAACAACTGAGCATAGGCCACCGCCGCATTTATCTAGAGAATGCAGATGCGGCCAAGAAGGCAGCCGCAAAGGCCGGATCAACGATATTTGGGATCCAGTGGCGGTAGTTGCATCTTGAATTCTGGATGGGAATAGTTGATAAGTTCTCGGTGTACGATAAGGGCATACTTTTCCAGCTTCAAAAAGTTGAGGCTGCCGTCTATGATCCTCTGTGCTGGAGTTATCTTGCCTTAGGTTTTTGATGGATTTATGGGCTTAAATATGGGATCTGGCCACAATTTTGTTTTAAGGTTGCGTTTGGCGATGAAAGTGCCTTGTTTTCGATTTGAATGTATATATATATCCCTCAATCGGTTGCCCGACTTTCGAAGGGCGCAGCATGCAGGATGCAGGATGCAAGCATCTCAACCCGTAAGGATAATCGCGGAGTACATGATCAAGGTAGCTGTGTAAGTACATATATTCAGGGGCGTTTTCGAGGTACGTTGTTCAGGCCCCCTATATCGCCTCCTATAAGTTCTACAGTTGCAAGGATACGAGGCCCCCCCAGTTCTTTTCTAGAACGAATTATTAGGTCTCAGAATTATATTATCGACTGGTTTACTGATAACAAGCCGTCTGCGCTAGTTCTTTTGATAATAATACTTAATTCCGCCCCCGGGCCATATACATAGTAAGTTCAAATACAAATTTGATATGCTGGTAAGCCTCTATTTATATATATAAGTAGAAATGGAGCAAACCACTAGTCACGGAGCAATGATGGGGCCGACCCATAAATCTATACATGACTAGTATATCAAAATCCATGAATATACATAGTAGGCAAAAAGCTCCCCGTCCACTCAGGCCACACGGGCACGCTGGAGGACTGGCTTTGCCTCTTCAGATCTCCACCAACTCTTCCCTTCTTCTCCAGGGAACGAGTACTCTTCCATGCTACGCGCCTTCATCTGCACGCTGTACCCAGGCTCCATGGGTGTAACGTAATACCCGTTCTGCACCCTAGCCGGACATTCGAAGTGATCATGCAAGTGGTCCACATACTCAAGCACACTCTTCTTCCCCGTCATCACCACGTAGTCAATCGTGCTCAGGTGCTGGGTGTACTCGGGCAGTCCGACGCCTCCTGAATGGGGGACGACGGGGACACCGAATTTGCGGGCGAGCAGGAGGATGGCTAGACACTCGTTGACGCCGCCGACTCGACATGCGTCGGGCTGAAGGACGGTCAGGGCGCCAGACTGGAGGAATTGCTTAAACATGACACGGTTCTGGCACATTTCACCCGTAGCGACTCCAATGGCGCCGTGTGGCGTATCTTGGAGGGCCTTGCGGATAGCTGCATGGCCCAGGATGTCGTCTGGAGAAGTGGGCTCCTCAATAAACCAGGGCTTGAACTGAGCAAGCTCTTTCATATGAGAGATAGCTTCGGGAACCGACCACACCTAAATCGCAGAGTCAACTCCGTATAACTTCTGCTTTGATGTATGTATAGTCGTATAGTCTCCGCGGGGAGACAAAAAGAGACACCTCGCTTAATAGACGAAGCGCCTCCGTATGACTAGTTATTTGGATTTGGATAGGAGATGGGCATACCTGATTGGCATCGACCATCAAAACATTTCCCTTGTCGTATCCAATGGCTTCCCTTGCGATCGTCAATCGCTGTTTATCCTTGTCCAGGTTTCCGCCAACTTTCAGTTTGAAATAACGATACCCATCCTGGACGCTCTGCTCAAGCAAGGCCTTCATCTTCTCCTCATCGTAGCCGAGCCAGCCAGCACTGGTCGTATAGGCCGGAACTGCTTCATTGCGTTCCGCTTCCTCGATTCTCAGCTGTTTTCCTGGCTCCACTTCCCGCAGCAACTGGATGGCTTCCTCGGGCGTGAGCGCATCAGTGATGTACCTAAAATCGATGCATCGAACCAATTCTTCAGGTGTCATGTCCGCGACCACCTTCCAAACTGGCTTGTTGAGCGTCTTCGCCCATAGATCCCACAGCGCATTCACGACTGCTCCAAGCGCAAGATGGATCACACCCTTTTCTGGGCCAATCCATCGAAGTTGGCTGTCAGATACCAAGTAGCGCCATGTCTTCCCCCAATCAGCGGTTAGAGAGTCTAACTCTTTTCCCACCAGTAGAGGCGCCAGCGCATCAATGGCCGCGCAGACAATCTCATTACCTCGGCCGATGGTAAAAGTCTTACGGACGAATATAAAGTCAGCCTGCAGCGGAAGGATGAAGCAGAAGAAGCAAGAAACAAAAAAGCAAAGAGCCAAAACCCGACAATTTGGGTGCTATTGTCATTGCTTGCCCATCCTGCCGCATAATTAGGTCAAGTGGTCAGTTTGGTCACATACCATACCATGGCCAGCGTGGGCCGAGTCAGTCTGGATCACACAGTAGGCAGCTGAGTAGTCAGTTGCAGGATTCATGGCATCAGAACCGGTATTGTCCAGCGATGTCTACATGTACCGTTGCCAGTCCACCAATTCATTAGCATAAAAACGAGGACCGTGGGGCCCGGCGTCCCCTCTCTACCCCCCGGGAAGATAACATACAGGGAAGCGCACATCGTGCGAGGAAAAGCCCGTGATCTTCATATTGAGGTCTTGCTGTGTCTTGAAGCTGTGGCTGTCAGTGTAATGAACAAGGGCTGCACGATCTCCCCCGCAAGATCGAGAACTTGGTTGCTTTGGCGCTTGATACTATCTCGAGAAGGGAAATTGGTGCGGCAAAGGAGATGCGATCAGTCACCTTTTTTTTTCCTCGCGGTCCTCAGTATGTAAGCTCGTAAGTTAATATATAAGACTTGTATAAGCGGGTGCTTTAAGCGGGGGCCCTTGCGCCGCCTCCCAAGGCCCTAAGGAAGTGCCTAAGCAGGGCCTAAGGAAAGCCCCAGATTGGGCTAAAGATTGGCTGAAAATGGGAGGCGGAGGGGCAAGCCCGGGAGCACGCCCGGTAACGCGGAGTTTAAAGGTTCCATTAAAAAGCTCCAGTTAAATCGGACCCCCGAAGTGCGACTAGTCGGCTCCTAAGGTCTTCTAATAAAAGAAACCAACCCTAGTCATTCCGCCCCCCCTTTTTTTATCACCGCTTGTTCGAAGGTCACCCAATGTGATGCAATTGCATAGTTGCATAGACCCCCTTTGAAGAACACCCCGATTGCGGAGTGCTATATGTCACTGAGAGCGGCAAGCAAGTTGTATCCCTGAAGCTGCCGTGGTTGCATGCATCGGCATCCATGCACCCATGTCAAGATAGAATGGCTGAGGAAAGCATAAAACGCTCGTCCATGGCCCTGTGTGTCTCCAGTCTATATCTGCATCGGAGAAATGAACCTATTGGTTGCGTTTGCTGCGCCTGACGCAGGCCATCTTCAGAGCCCCGGAGATCTGTTAGGAATCCGGCTAGTCAATGCACGCTGGCAGCCCTAGTTCATGCAAGCCCTGCAGTCCAACATATATGTACATACTATGTATATGCATCCAAGACGTCCCGAGTCCATACCCATGCATATACGCCGAAACCTGTACCCTTACCTGTTCAGGTGACGAGGGAGAAGGATGCATGTCAACAGGGCAAGCAGCGGCTACGCAATTCGGTCAAGCAATTTGATTTCCTTTTAAGCAGGCTGGTCCTGTGTTGCGTGCAATGTTTTCTCTCCCCCTTATTTCATGATATGACATCCCTTTCTCCTGTAATTAGCGCTTTTTCCTTTTCTTTTCTTTGCTTTGCTTTCCCTCTGGAAGGATGGGTTCTTGCATGAGTCGTGAATTGCCGGAAGACCGGGAGAGCCGGCGGCCGCGAGTACTGACCAAATGGAGGCAACGGAGGGCATTGAAGAAGGCCGAACGGCAGTTCAGGAGGGCCAGCCCAACATTTGAAAAGACCAGAGAGATAGATACCCTGCGTGCAACCGAATACACACCCTTGAAGGACCATGTGTATATGGACTATACAGGGGCTGGCTTATACGGCGAGAAACAACTCCGTACGCACTTCAACCTCCTTCGGTCCAGCATCTATAGCGACTCCAGCTCAACCTCGAACGCCGAGGCCATTCAACGAATAAGAGACCATGTCCTTACATTCTTCCGAGCCTCTCCGGACGAGTACGAAGTCATCTTCACGGCCAATGCATCCCACGCCCTCAAGCTAGTAGGTGAAGCCTACCCGTTCACACCCCAGGGAGAACTGCTCCTCCTATGGGACAACCACAACTCCGTACAGGGCCTGCGGGAATTCGCACGTGGAAAGGGAGTGCCCGTCACCCATGTACCAGTGACGCCGCCGAGCCTGCAGATAGACGAGGCGTTCCTGAAGAAGTCGATCAGCAGCAAGAGTTCATCTAGCCCTCGTCTCTTTGCATATCCTGCCCAATCAAACTTCAGCGGCGTACAGCATTCGCTGAAATGGATCGAGGAAGCGCAGTCTCATGGATGGGATGTCGTTTTAGACGCCGCCAGCTTTGTTCCTGCAAACCCCCTGGATCTGTCCCGATGGCATCCCGACTTTGTCCCGATCTCCTTTTATAAGATGTTTGGCTATCCGTCCGGCATCGGCTGTCTGATAGCGCGTAAACAAGCCCTGGCAAAGCTGCAGCGTCCCTGGGCATCTAGAGAAAAGGCCAACCACGGCCAGAAATGGCATGAAGAATTCGAAGACGGTAGTATCGACTTCTTCGGCCTTCCTGCCGTCGAAATAGGCCTCAACCATCTGTCCAGCATCGGTATGGAGACTATAAGCAGCCGCGTCAAGCTGCTCGCAGGCTGGCTCATCGACCGCCTGCTCGAGCTCCGTCACTCCAACGGCCGGCGCGTGGTGATCATATACGGTCCCCAAAACACGACCAACCGCGGCGGAACCATCACACTGAACTTCATCGATCCCACAGGTCGCGTAATAGACGAGCGTATCGTCGACAGACGCGCGCTGCCTATCAACCTCTCACTCCGCACGGGATGTTTCTGCAACCCCGGCGCCAGCGAAGCAGCCTTCCATCTCACCGAGGAAGCCCTGCTCAATGCTTTCAACCAGGAAGCCGCCGCAAAGGAGCAGGAGGGTAATCCAAAGACTTTCGACGAGTTCCTGGTGGACATGGGCATGACTACCGGCGGAGGAGTCCGTATCTCACTTGGCCTAATGACCAATTTTGCTGACTGTTTTCGATTCTTGCAATTCGCACATGGGTTCGTTGATAATGTACCGGCAGAGACAGATCTCCAGCCACGACCGCATTGCTAGCCATGGTTATGATGTTTTTAATGGATGATGATGAAGCATGACTTTGAGAAAGGGGGTATCATTTTGGAGGAAAAAACGGCGTTAGAGACGATGGTTAATGGTAACATGATGGACGACGTTATGAAGTATCTTAAGGCATTCAGTTAATTTATTTATAATATTTCTTTCTCCATCGATTTATTTTTCTTGAATCGACAGATCAAATGTGATTTATACAGTTGATATTTTGATGTCGTCGTAAAGTTGTAAGGTTTGCATGGTCGACGTTTCATATCAAAGATCACAGCAGCAAAAGATGTTACATATATATAAACCGACATACGACAAGAGAAAACACTGGCTGTTTCATTTCTAATTTACAGAGTCCGTCTGGCAAGATGACCGCACTATAGGATTAGCTAGAGAGGCCCCTCTTTTCGCTTTCGGAGAAGAACACAATCATACGCCACAGCTTCTTCACCAGGACTTCAGCCTCTTCGTCAAGCGCCTGGACGAGAATATGTTAGCAAGTCTGATATAACGAGATTGAAGTATTCAGGATGAGTATATGACTTACCCCTTCCAGCTGCTCCACGAGATCCTGAGGGCTCCCGCGCTTCCGGATGTGTTCTTCCACAACATCCACCAACATCTGCTCCTGAACACCAAGATACTCCATGATCTTCTTTTCCACGAAGGGCTTGAGCTGGTCACCGAGGACTGCCTCGTCCACAAACTCCCACTTGACCTCCCATTTCCACAGGCCCTCTTTATCTGACGGAATCTCAGCCGCAAGCTGTCTCGCGGCCTGGGCACGCTCTTCGTCGCTAAGCCCCGTAGTCTCGGCAATGGAGTCAAACTTGATGTCCGTCAGAGGACGTCTGGCAATGGTAGCAGTATCCTCTTCATCTTCAAGCAGGCCCTCGACTTCGGCAACAGTTCTCCGCTGGGCCTTCTGGGCAGCCGCTCCGAGGGATAGCTTGAACCGTTGTGGCTCCTTGCGCGTTTGGTTGCGAGACTCAATCTCCTGGGCTTGACGAGCGAGGAAATCGTCCGCCATGCCACGGGCTTGCTCTTGCTGCTGGGCTTCCTTGGCCTTTTCTCGTTCCTCTGCTGCGCGGTCTGCTTCATCCATGGCGGCCTCGCGGTTGCGGAATGCAGCACGCTTGCGTATCCATACGCCACGGTCAGCGTAGTATTCTTCCACCTTTCTACTAGCTTCTAAATCATCATTCCACTCCCGCAGTCTCTTGGCCATGGCCCGCTTCTCCTCTTCTGCGCGTTGCCCCTCTTCCCGCTCTCGATTCTTTTCTCTCTCCACGGCAGCAGTCCGGCTTCTTTCACGGTTCAGCCATCGCCGCTCCTGATCCAAGGCCTGCTTCTCCAGTTCTGCATTCCGTTTTTCCTGGTGTCTTCTTTCTACTTCAGAGTCGCTTGCATCGGTGTCATCGTCCTCTGGAATAATGTCGACATCGTTGGTATTAACAAACGAAACGCCCTTTTGATAGTCCTTTGGAATTTGGTGTCCATATCCCTTTGGCCCAGATGGCGCATTGGGTACACTCCTATCCCGAGGCCCAAGTGGAATTCCGTTAGCTCCGCCGGCAGGACCAGGTGTGGAATGCGATGGAGAGGACAGCCTGTTTGAACGTGAATGGCCAGCATTTCTAGCTCGCTCCAAGGACTCAATCTCCTCTTCTCGTTTCAGTCGTTCGAGGTCCCGCCGGTTGCTTCTTTCACGGAAAGCCGCAATCTCCTTTGCGACCGTTTCTCTCATCTCAGCAGGTATGTCCGAAAGCTCGTCTTCCACAGTTATTGGGATAGTAATAACTTCCGCGGAAGCTCCATCAGCCTGCTTTTCCCCATCACCCATAGCGGTATCGCCGTCTCTATCGAGTCCAGTCCCCTCCGCTTTGACTTGGGCCGAAGGGTTGGCCAGTTCGGCTAAGACAGCTGCAAGCTTCTTTCTCGCGGTTTCGAGACGTGAATGCACCGTTTCCGGTTCTTGGGTGTTGTTCGCCTCATACTGTTCAAGGTATTTGAGAGAGCTATCATCAACAACCACCTAAAATCTTTTCAGTACCTGTAGGATAGAGAGATAGTTATGTGAGATAAGTAGCAACTTACCATCAATTTACCCATTTCAACTTCGGCATTATCATTTTCACCTTCCGCGGAGGGTCGCTGTTTTTTGACAGGAACTTCGATATCCCTTAGCACCTCTACAGCAGTATTAAGACTTTCTGGGTCCTCGTACTCTGCAAAACCAAACTTGCACGGCTTATTGTCCGCATCAGTCGCCCGAATCCAGCGCCTAAGATTACCCGCTGATCGTAGAATACGTTCGACTCCTTCGTCACCGCCGGTGCCTTCAGTGATACCACTGACAAAGATCGTGCGCACTATTTCGTCCTTTGTTGGAGGCTGTAGCTGCATAATCGCTTCACGGATATTCTGACGCTGCGACTCTATTGAAGCTGTATGGTGCTGGCCGCCTCTACGTCCTCCAGCGTCTCCACCCCGCTCACGGCCACCTTCATGCGGTGTCGTCGATTTAGGCGGACCAGAAGTCCCCAGTCGAATCACAGGAGCAGAGAAATTTATGTTTGGCATGTTCGCGGGGGGTTGGAAGTTGGGTGGGAAGCCGCCAGGCCGGCCTGGCTGTTGGGCGTTGTGTTGTTGCATTCCTGGAGGCGCACCGGTCCCTGGAGGTGCCATACCTGGGGGCGCCATTCCTGGTGGGCCTTTCCAGATACAAAGATGTATATGTCAGCTATGTCTTGTGCGAGATACGCGGTATATGATAACGGGAGAAAGCTCACCACCAAGGCCTGGAGGCGCGCCAGGGTAGCTTCCAAAATCTGGCGGCTGGCCAAAGGGCCCTGTAGCTATAAACGAACTTGTTAGTATTCCGAACAATTGAGTAAATTGGCTGGATAACATTACCTTGATATGGGTTATACATCTTGCCTCTCGTGCACTTGTCCTAGCAAAGCCCTTGTATAGTGTCTGTAAACGAGCCGAAATGTGGGCAATAAGAAGCTAGATGGCTGCAGCTGAACTGAGCAAGCCTAAGCAGTCATCTCTAGAAGTGCTCTGCTGTCGTATCTCCTTTCTCCAGTCTGCGATCGTTTTCTGTCTTCTCTTGTTCTTTTGATGCTTTTTTACTATTTGAAGAATTTCTGGAATTTGGCGTCAGAGGCCCGTGCTCGAAGTGTCACGTGAGAGTCATTTTTTATCTTTTTGTTTTCAATATTTTTTATTTAATAAAAAGAAAAAGATGAAGAAGATGAAGATGAAGAGTCGAAATGGTTTAGGAGGACTTGTCGATGATGGGTTTATCGAGAGTAGGATACACTGTGGCAGAATGCCTTTTCTGTCCTATTCTCTGACATAACTACTCAGTCATGGCCGATCAGCTATCAAGGAACACTACTGCGCATCTTATACCCAGTGCCAGCGAAGCGACCTTCAACTTGCTCTTCAACGTGTCAATGTGGCAATTATGGAATGCTGAGATATATGAACGCGTGGCAATATTCATTCAAGCTTGAGGACGACCTTTTTCCTGACCCTGATCCTAATTAACTACCCATCGTCTGTTCAGAAGCCATGGAGGATTATAACAACGGCCGTAAGAGAATAGGATGCCATATATGCCTTTTTTTCAATGCCTGGTCTGGATAGAAAACAAATATGGCGGCAGGGAGGATCAAGATATACCTTGAGCTCTATGAATCATCCCCATAAGGGGGGGGGGGGGGGGGGGGGGGGTGATTATGGCAATTCCGGGATTCTCTTTCCAACCATCTGCCTTATTAAGGACAGATTGACTACTCCGATACTAGGACACTGGCTGTAGTGCTGCCTCTTAGTACCGCTATTAATTCGCCTCGGCCATACGCCTAGAGCAACACAATACTATGTATGTTTGCACCTGCACTCAATACTTCTGCTATTGTGGAAAGGGGCCATGATAGGATGTACCTACACGCTACCTGAGCGATCCATGATTGATCCATTGGCCGTACATAGTAAGCTTGAACACTTTAAGTGGTGATGTTTTATTCACATATTCCTTCGATTGGGAACTTGACCATGTCCATCCACATTAAATCCTTGGTTGATGCACAAGACAGCGACACAACGGCAGAAAATGTCAAATGTCAAGCACAAAATATTACAGGGGCCGCTAACATGTGGTTAACAGCTCATGCAATCCGCACCTGTTTCTTGCCTGTACCATCGTCGGGATTCTCTGGAACCCGTTTTTATAAACCGGGAGGTAGCAAATATCGCCAGCTTTTGACCTTGCACAGTCACATTCTATCATCTGCCTGATACATCATGAGACGGATGAGAGTAAACCAATTCCAGGTGTGAAACCGAGTGGCGCCTCTACTCTCAAAACCTGGTAAGTCTTATGCGGATCTCCGGCCCCATTCGACAAGGCCGCCATGAAATTCGAATGCGACTCGTGAGATATCACTGCGTTTTGGAAATGATATTCAAACCGCTGCAACCTTCAAATCATGCGATGGCAGTCATCCTTAAAACTTGGGGTCGGCCAACTTTCCAGTCGTTACTCAGAGGATGTATAAAAGGATGTATCACCTACATATAGTACGGCCCAGCTCGAGATAAAAAGCCCTCGAAAAGCCTATAAAAAGGAATCCCTTCCATGGGCTCTGGAAATAATCTGGTAAAGACACTCAAGGCGCTTCTCCCAGCCAAACAAGGCACTCCAATATGCTAGCCTTCTTCAGCTCTGCCATGGCCACTGTCTCCAGCCTGGTGACTGGTCAAGTAGGAAATAATAAAACAGCCCGCGTCACAGTAGTGAACGATACCACCAGGCCAATCGTCGCCATCTCCGTCATTCACAAGTTCAGCAACACCCACAAAAGCCGTCAAGAATGGTCCATGGTCCAACCAGGCAAAAACTCCACGCCCGAACTACAGGTTGAATATCCAGCTGGCTCCGGCGTCACTGGTGACAACTTATGGCTCGTTATCTGGTACAGCGAGGATCTGCAGGCGCTCCAGCACTCTGAGCCAAGCGAGTCTGTCTTCCCACGCGATGTGCTTGACAGGCAGACGCGAGAGGAGATTCAGAGGGTGAAAGAAGCCCTCGCTACTGGGAGTGAGCCAGGCTCGAAAGGTGCACAGCTTGCCAGCGCATTAGCAAAGGCGACGACTGACCGCATATTTAATTCAAAAAGTGCGGAAGGGTTCGCACAGCATGCGTTGCGGGAGGAGGATGCAAACGAGTTGACCGAAATTGTTATCAACGCCAATGACACAATTACATTCAAGTCCAAGTCTGGCAGCACAGAGGTCAAGTTCAGCTCGCAGCCAGCTACGGCAGAAACGGCTTCATACAGGGAAGCGGTCATTAGCATTTGAACTTGGGTTGCCCAGCGATGGCGTCTCGTCCAGTAGTTTGAATGGTGACTTTTTTTCGGGCAGTGCAAGCGACATTTGAAATGAGCCACGACGGTTTTAGGCAGTTAGTTAAGCCAGTTAAATTACTTCGTATGGGTGCTTAGCTAGTTCTCTTTTTCATCCCCCCTTTTTTTCTTATTTTCTCGTTTATGCCTGGCCAGTTGATTGAAGGCGTAACTGGATGGCTTGAGCCTGGCCCAGTCCGAGATAACGGCTTGCTTTGACGGTTAACAGGTCATCTTACTTCGTGTCAGCCTCGCATTCCGTCTGGATGTTGGTTGAAGATATAATTCGTGATAAGCATGAATTTAGTCCATCTACTAAAATAAGTCCTTTTGCTAGGCTGCTTTGAAACAAAACCACGGCGTATCAGTCGATTTTGTTCAATGCAAACGGGCATTTTCCAAGGATGTCAATGCTCTTATCATATCCTTGTTTGTAACCTACGGAGAGAAAAGAATGAATTATTGACAATGACACTATTTATAAATTCTCGTGGCTGCGGCTTAACTATAAGGAGGAGAAAGGAAAAAAGGGGTAAATAGGCACGTTCAAATATAGACCGGAGCTCGTTTGCAGCCGTGACGGCACTGGCTGCAGGAGACGAATGGCTGAACTTAAGCTATTCGTTCATGGCAACGGGCATCTTCGTTCTGCCCGATGGCTTCAGCCTCCCAAGCCTGGGGGAGAGGTGTATAAGAAGGGAGCTTGAAGCCCTTCTTGCTGGCCGCACTTATATATACCCATCCCATCTAGCAATTAACAGTCATTCGTTTGTCCAGAAAACAATATCAGCTTACTTTTATTTTACCCTCCTTATACCTCTTAATTTCTTAATCACTTAATTCGAATCTTATCAAGATGCGCACTGGATTCTTTGCTCTTGCTGCCCTCCTTGTGAGCGGCGTCATGGCCGGTGAGGGTGAATGGCGCAAGGTCGACCCTCACACCATGAAGGCTCTCCGTGATCTTCGTGCCCGCCAGAACCAAGACTCCTCCTTCATCCCAGGAACCACCCAGGGCCATGGCTCGAACTGTGCCGATGCCTTTGGTGCTGGATATGAGCTCTGCGCCGACAGCAAAGTCTGCTACAACCCAACTGAGGGCGACCTCTGCTGCTCTGAAGGATGTATGTATTCACCTGTCAACCGTTCTTGGGTATATGGAGAGCGTCCTGCTAACCAGCCTCATAGACCCATGCCCCAAGGGAAGCTTCTGCCTGACCAAGGGATACTGCTGCCCCAACGTGAGTGTTCCATTACGACCTTTTCTATGATAAGTCTCATGGCTAACGGCTTCAAACAGGGCCTTGACCCCAAGGAGTGTGCCAAACAGCACAACGTCGAGCTTCCCCCAACATACGGCAGCTCCTCTCCCACTGGTGCTCCATTCCCAACTGGCGGCTCTTCTCCCACCGGCTCCTCCCCATCGACTGGCGCTCCTCAGCCAACTGGAACTCTTCCAACCGGAACCGGTGCTCCCACCGGCACCAGCATCCCACCAACCGCCACCAGCCCTCCCATCTACACCGGAGCTGCTAGCCACAACGCCATCCAGGGTGCTGCCGCCGCCATCGTCGCCTTCGGCCTCGTCCAGAACCTCTTGTAGAGACCTTTCTTCTCCAGTCTTTCTTCTCAAAACGAAAACGTAATGGCGGTGGTAGCTGGGGGATATCTGATGTAACTAGCTGTGTTGATATGTAACTTAATCTATCGCTGAGTCTTCTTCGGTTTCATCTCGTCTCTTTCGTTTCCTCTTCTATGCGAACTGAAGCCTGGCCTTTTCTTCATCTCTAATCATCTCGTCTTCCTCTCCAGCGAAAAATCGGCCAGCTTTGCTCCCCCCAAGTTCTAGACGGCTGGCTGAATAATCCACTTATTTCGAAGTCGAACTTCCGCCTGGTCCGGGAATGCCTTGATAAGAGGATGAGAAATGGAGAACCCGGTCAGAAACCATCAGGGAAGCTGGTTGTCCTTATGGTATAACTAAACAATCCATGTTTTTGTTGCTGAGCGTATTTAAAGTAGTTGTTTTTTTGCCCCTCCAGCTTTTCCCGGCTTTTCCTCGATACCAAACTATAAGAAGCTCGACTTTGGTCTCTACAACTTGACTACTAACATCGAAGAGGAGACAGGAAAGAGGACGAGAGAGACAGCCAACTAACGTCTACAGATATGGGTTTCTCACAAGCAAGCAGCCTGGAGGCCTGGAAGGCGCTGGAGCAGCACCATACCACCACCGGCCGGCACATCTCGCTGAACGAGGAGTTCAAGAAGGACTCGCGGCGCTTCGAGAAGCTCTCTCGCACCTTTTACAATGAGGCAGACAAGTCAGAGACGCTGTTTGACTTCTCCAAGAACCTGGTGACGGACGAGACGCTTGCTCTGCTGGTCAACCTGGCCAAGGAGGCGGGCGTCGAGCAGCTGCGGGACGAGATGTTCGAGGGAGAAGCTATCAACTTCACCGAGAACCGCGCCGTCTACCATGTTGCTCTGCGCAATGTGACGAACCAGCCGATGCAGGTTGGCGGGCAGAGCGTGGTCGAGGGCGTCAATTCGGTGCTCGAGCATATGAAGCAGTTCTCTGAGCAAGTTCGCAGCGGAGAATGGAAGGGATACACTGGAAAGAAGATCAAGACCATCATCAATATCGGAATTGGTGGGTCTGACCTGTAAGTCCACTGCTGAGCCTTGTTGTTACCGGAATGCGTGCTGATTTACTACTAGTGGGCCGGTGATGGTGACGGAGGCGCTGAAGGCCTACGCTGACCGGGGCTTTGATATCCATTTCGTCTCCAACATCGATGGCACGCACATAGTTGAGGCCCTGCGCAACTCAGACCCAGAGACCACTCTCTTCCTTATCGCCTCCAAGACCTTCACCACCGCGGAGACGACGACAAACGCCAACACAGCCAAGGGCTGGTTCCTCAAGGCCGCCAAAGATGAGGCACATATCGCCAAACACTTTGTTGCCCTCTCCACCAACGAGCAGGAAGTGACCAAGTTCGGCATCGACAAGAAGAACATGTTCGGCTTTGAGTCCTGGGTTGGTGGTCGGTACTCCGTCTGGTCCGCCATTGGCCTCTCTGTTGCCCTCTACATCGGGTTCGACAACTTCCACCAGTTCCTCGCCGGTGCCCATGCAATGGACAAGCACTTCCGCGAGACTCCGCTGGAACAGAACATCCCCGTTCTCGGAGGCCTGCTGAGCGTCTGGTACAGCGACTTCTTCGGTGCTCAGACTCACCTCGTCTCTCCCTTTGACCAGTACCTGCACCGCTTCCCGGCCTATCTCCAGCAGCTCTCCATGGAGAGCAACGGCAAGGCTGTCACCCGCAACGGTGAACACACCAAATACACTACCGGGCCCATCCTCTTCGGCGAGCCAGCCACCAATGCCCAGCACAGCTTCTACCAACTTCTGCACCAGGGCACCAAGCTCATCCCCACCGACTTCATCCTCGCGGCTGAATCCCACAACCCTGTCGAGGGAGGCAAGCACCAGCGCATGCTTGCTTCAAACTTCCTTGCCCAGGCAGAGGCCTTAATGGTCGGCAAGTCCCCCGAACAGGTCAAGGCTGAGGGAGCCCCTGACGAGCTGCTTGCCCACAAGACCTTCCTGGGAAATAGGCCAACCACCTCCATCCTGGCCCAGAAGATAACTCCCGGCACTCTAGGTGCGTTGATCGCATATTATGAGCATGTCACCTTCACCGAGGGTGCCGTGTGGAACATCAACTCCTTCGACCAGTGGGGCGTCGAGCTCGGAAAGGTCCTTGCAAAGAAGATCCAGAAGGAGTTGGAGACTGCCGGTGCCGGAGGCGACCATGACGGTTCGACCAGCGGACTGATTGCTGCCTTTAAGAAGAAGGCTTCTTTGTTGTAGGTGATCGTTGCTCTCATGAAGGATTCTGACGATGTGTTTATGCCTTTGATAACTATGAAATCTGTATTTATTACCGGTGGTCTCTGAACTACCTGAAGCCTTTTATATTTAATCTTACTTCTCTTTCGAAACTATCCGCGAGTAAATATATATCACCGTAGAATTTGATTGCTCTTATAGTATATATAGATTTACCCCTGATCTATATGCCAAGTCTGGGATTATCAAAAAGCCCATGAAGACAAGAAGGACACATGTAATACTTCTATATGCCAGATCCTCCAGCACGCCCAACCTGAGGAGAATATTAATATGATCTTTCTCAAGCGGATATGTATATCCAGCCCCTTCCACCTGATATTCCACATTTATCTTTGCGCTGTCGTGACCGCATCCCGGTTAACGTACCTGGATAATCCCGCCAAACCAGCATATAAATACGGTGATAATCTCCCCGTCAGCTGTCTAAACAGGACAATGTAGGGCATGCTCTCATAGATATTTGTCAGTGTATCATAGCTAACTGACATTGTCTGGCGATAGTGACGATGGCCAACATGTATGAAACTACAACTAAAATTCCTCCAGCACCTATGCTAACAAGCCTACCAGGTCACCGATGTAGCTGGAAAACTGCAATATATACCCTTCTCCGTATGCAATGAGACCGGCTCTCCTCTTACTTTTCACTACGGCGTCTCCGAGACGGTAACATGCACCATTGACTCCCTACCCGACTCCCTCTACCATCTGCTAGAGTACTACATCCACTCCGACGTCCCCCTTGCATGCCGCATACCTACCACCCCCCTATCCGGCTCCCAAACGAAATTCAGCTCCAGGAAAGATGACGACAAGGAAAAGAACAAGGAGAAGGGCAAGGAGACAAACGGGGATGAAGACGGGGTATCTCCAACACCTTTCACTCCCATAACGATTGCGCTGCAGGGGACACTACAATACAGCCACCTACACATGTGGACTGACATGAACGTCCTTTTCCACCGATCAACAACCATTCCTTCGAAAGACGCTAAGCCATCCAAACGCCGTACCAACGGCCAAGTGGTCGCCGGATCAGCTTATTCGTTTCCTCTCAGTGCTAAAAGGGATAAAACGGGTAAGTTGGACCGCACGATCAGCGTACCGCTGGATCCCTGGGCGGCGGGTAAAGGGAGCAAAATTGTCCGTGGAGAGCCATTGACCTTCACGTTCCAAGTGGGATGGGTGGATGAGAGTGACGTCTTGTCCTTGTCGACGGGGCCGGCTGGGACATGGGAATCGTTGGTTGCAATGATATGGCGGGCCAGCATGTTTATCATGGCAGGTGTTGTTGGGGCCATTATTGCGATCTGGTGGGATCGAACGATTGGATCAAGACGCAAGGGAGGTTGGGATGGTGATGGTTTATTGGGTAGTTTGCCGAAATCGACTCGTGGAATCTTTGGATCGCGACGTATCGGTAATGCATCCGGAAGCATTGGGAGTAGTGCGAGTATGAGCGGTTATGGAGGCTATGGATTGAGTGGTAGTGGAAGCCATGGATATAACGGTTTCCCCAGCGGGAAGAAAGACTAATTATGACGGTGGTATTATAACGGTCTTGGATATGAATGCATAGTTAGGATATAATGCATTACTTGGAAGAATCTTTCAACACTAAATGTACATGATAAATGAAATACAAAAGGCGTTTCCACCCTTCAAAAGTGTTACTTATACATTGGACTTCACACTCCGATACACAACGAGAAGCAATATCCAGCACCATCCAGTCTCTACCATCCCTGTCTCTTCAGCTCCATGCATCTGGCAACAGTTGCCTGGAATGACTTCTTGAACAAGATTCTCCACCGTTTCGACTTCAAAATCTTCCGCTTCTTTCCCCGACGAATATGGAACCTCTGAGCATTCTGGTCAGCCCTTATCTTATTCCTGGCAACCTGTGCCTCCATCATAGCAAAGGCCTGGTTGACATCAACACCTCGAGAGGGGTCAACCGCAACCGTACGTCCCAGTTTAGGGCCAAGCTTTAATCCGGGGTATCTTGGAACAGCGCGTTCCCCTTGGGTTGAGTTGTTTGCAACGGTATCATGAACAGCTCGAGTAATACTTCCCACATCTGAATTCTGGAAGAGGCTGCGGAATGCTGTTGCAACATTTTGACGGCCGCCTTGGCCTGGTCTGCCGGGCTGGTTCGATGTTCCTACTCGGTCGTATACGTCGTCAAGCAGGTTGCTAATCGAGTCCACGTCAAAACCGTTATTGCTGGACGGGGATGTCTTTTGCTGGGTGGTAACAGGGGTGTCTCTCTGGTTACTTGAGAGCGGCTGAGAGGTAGATATCGTTCGTATGGACTGGCTGAAGGACTGCGGTATGGAGCGTCTGATGGGAGCGAAGTGTTGGCTGATGAGGCGGGATGTCTGCCTCGAAACCAGGCCATTGGCCATCCGTCGGACATCCATCACGGACAGAACGACTCAATGACCCTCCGGTATAGTAGATCAACGTAGAATGAGCGTCGCGGCGACCTTTAGAGTCTCTTCTTTGCTGCTTTTCTTCTTCATCAGCTTCAAAATCGAAAAATGTCGAAAGTTTCTTCGGATTTTACTTTTTCCGTTGTATTATCACGTGCCACTTTCTTTTATCGATAAGGAAGTTTCGACTTCAAAGACGAAGCAAAAAGAACCATCACAGCTTTAATATAACAAGGGTTCATCTGGCTATATCAACGATACTGGGGTGAGCTTTTGCCTGAAATGTCGTCAATTACAATTGCTAGCCTGCCCAGGATGGCACGGGAAACGCTCTCATCCATAATCCAAACCCCAGCAGCAGCCAGCAATCTTGCTATCATAGATGTTCGAGATTCCGGTTCGTCTGTTGACCCCTCTACCTCGTTCACTGCGGCGTATCTCTTCTCTAACAAGGCCGTGCTGTGCTAATAGACCATGTCGGTGGTAACATCGTCACCTCAAAATGGATCCCAAGTTCTTCATTTGATGTCCATATCCCAGAGCTTATCCGGACACTCAGGGACAAGGAGAAAGTCGTCTTCCACTGTGCCCTGAGCCAGCAGCGTGGCCCGTCCGCTGCTCTGAAATATGCAAGAGAGCGAGCTAGGGTTCTAGACGATGAAGAATGCGCTAGGCAGACCGTTTTTATACTGGATGGGGGCTTCGTCAAGTGGCAGGAGATATTTGGCAATGACCCGAAGCTCACAAATGACTACGTTAAAGATATCTGGGACGAGTATTGATTGTTATTATCGTTACGATGGTTTCTTTTTATGATGGTCCTTGTTTACGATTTTATGACTCATAGACTCTGTTGATGGGTAGAGGGTCAGTGAGCGTTTATAGAATTATCCATTCGCTGAAGATAGTGAATTCCAACTAGCTACATCCAAGGGTTGAAGGACTCAGATTTCTATACTTATATATACAAAATAGCTCGGTAGGTTACATCTGGACATCACCGCCGAAGCCTACTGGCCGTCTCTTTCCTCCGCTCTCGGGAACAATAGCCATAGCCTTGTATATTTTTCCCATTCCCCCACCTCCCCGGTCAACCAGACGCTGCCAGGAGCTCTCTATCTGCTTACGTTTTGTTTCATCTTTAACATTGCGCAGTAACTGTGCTGCCCGTTCCGCAATGCCTAGTGAGCGTAAAAAGCTCCCCTGTTCATTTGGTCCGTACACCTCGACGCCAGGACTGGCGTTAAGAGCGGACTCGGCAAGTCCAGTAAAATCCACATCCGCACTAAGATCAACTTGGCCTGGGGTCGCAAACGGTGACACGATCTGGTGATTCTTAATTCCGCGAAGGGAGTTGACAGGTATGGTAGACGATGGGCCGTAGTCGAGTATCAGCGCTGCACCGGCGGGGGTACGGGTCGGTGAATCGTCTTTACCAGTTGGATTGGCACCTCCGATAAGGCGGGCGAACTCTTGTGCGTAGGTATGGCTTTCCGGGCTGATTTCGATGGTTGATCCGCGGGTAGATTTGAGAGCCTTGTATCGGGGAGACATTTCTGGCATGACCAGGGACGCTGGAGTAGGCGACTTTGCAAGGGCTAATCGGAACTCGAGCTTCTTGTCATTCTTATCGGACTCGCGGGTTGGTTCAGGGTTTGTAGCGACCACTAGCTCTCTCCATTGTGTTCCGTTCAAGGGTAGTGGAGGTTGTCGAAGCGTAGCTGGTCCGGTTGGGGTGTTTATTGTTTCTGGGGGAGGAGAGTGGACCGATTGGAACGCATGGATTGGAAGGGCATCGAAGAATTCGTGAGCAACGATAAACGGCGCTTTGTTCTCGACTGATATGGTCCGTTAGTACTGTGGTTTACATGACAGGGGACTGTGATAAAGTGACTTACCTTCCGGAAGCAAGCGTATATGTTCAGTCCAATAAACCGGTACTCCAAGGTGTGTACTGGTGCTCTTGTGACCAATTTCACATTCTTCCATTGGCGCTTCTCCGCAGAGTTTCTGTTTTTGAATATCACGCAACGTTGGACTGGCCTCTATGAGGTATATACCTTCAATACTTGAAGCAAATCCTTTAAAATTCCGAACCGACTAACACGTATCTTATTGTCAATTACATTCACCACAATTGTAAACGAAGTGGCAATGGGCCGGAAACGTTCACTTACACGCAAGATGTCTGCCATCAATGTTCCCTTTCCAGGACCGACTTCCATCAGTTGGACTCCGCTGCTGCGTCGTCCCTGAGACAGCCATTCCGTCACTATCCATATTCCCAGCAGCTCCCCAAACATCTGAGATATTTCCGGTGATGTTACAAAGTCTCCCTCCTTGCCGAATACGTCGCTACCAGGTGCTCCGCGAGATGTGTAGTAGCCACCTTCATCGGAGGTCAGGCATTGACGCATGAACGCAGCGATAGAGATCGGGCCCGTAGTCTACCCATGCAAAAGACATTAGTAAATCGTCAATAAAACCAGGTTTAGATATAGCGTCTCAAGGCACATATAAGAAAGTATGGAAGAACTAACATTGATTGCATCGGTGATTCTCTTTGCCAGGGGAGTCGACCATTCCCGCTGTGTTGATAGATACCGGCGGCCGTTTGGCACTGCCAGCCGCGCGGGTCGACCGGCATTTGCCAATCGGTATACTATCTTAGAGGCACCATTTCTCATCTTTTGGCGATGAGAGGAGCTATCTCGACAAGTTGTGACCTTCGAGAGAGCAACCAAATATTAATACTCAGACTATCAAACGCAAAAAGACCGACCAGCTCATAGTTGTGCTTATGTAAGCCTGGACACCAGCGTTTCTAAGCGTAAAAAGAAAAGATGGAATATAATAATAAACAAAAATATTTTATATGCGCTGCAACGAGGACAAGGAGGCTGGTAGACTATTAGATGGTAAAAGCTGCATCTGATGTGAAGGGGATGTTACCCAGGAAGTACTTTGGAGGCCCTGTCGTGGATTTGTTTCATCATGCGAACTATATATATATTATCGGAGGCAATCTTATTCTGGGATCGTATATGTCTACTATGTATATATAAAGTAGAGTATAGAGGTATACTACGGAAGTATGGAGGATTGAGTGGACATAAGAATTATTAGGTCTTGTAGTTCTCTATAGATGAATCCTATACTCAAAGCTTGCCGCCCGCTTCAATGTTCTTCTCCCGTAAGAGCTCGACCATATACTATCCATCATACAAGAACCAAAGGTTTTAGCTTAGTCACCAGGATAATTCACACTCTGCCGTCAACAACGTTCTCAGGATAATCCTACTCAGATTGAAGGAATAATTGACTGGCAGTCATCTCAAATCGCCCCACTATTTATACAAGCTTGCTTTCCTGATTTCCTTCAACCACCCAAAGATTACAAGCCGGGCACTGAAGCCCCGCAACTGCCAGAGAACTTTGACGAACTAGAACCCGAACAGCAGCAACAGGCCCGCATTGATCGAGATTTAGCATCTCTTTCTAAATACTACGAGATGTCTAGCCTGGTGAAGAATAAGCGAGTCTATGATGCAATGGGTATCCCACGGACACTATGGGAGCCATTTACATGCTGTCAGCTATCATCTGATGGCGGGCTAGTTCCTCTTCGTGACTGCTTAGTTCGCTTAGAACAGAGCTGGGTACGCCTGGGTCTGCATGGGAGCTGCCCCTACACATTCTCCGAGGATGACCTGAAAAGAAATGAAGAAGAAGTGACACAGTATAAAGACAGGCTTTATTTATGGGGACTTGTTAAGAGCCAACTGTCCACTAATGACGCCGGTTGGGTCGCCTCGGATCAGTGGGAGGAGGCCCATGAGGTGAACAGGTATCTTTATGACATGTTTATTGACACAATGAGCCAGGAAATGTCTCAGGAAGAGGCTTTAGAGAAAGGAAAAACATGGCCGTTCCCTCCTCGAGATATATGAATTCTCAGGCCTCACTCTACTTCAAAGATTTTTCTTCCCTTGTTCAACCAACTCGTTTATTACACGGGACCCCTCGTCAGTTTTGTCTTTCTCCTCCACATTCCGGTTGATTGTTGTGACCGCGAGGTTCCCGTGCGGGTTTTTCCTCGGCCAGTCTCGAAGACCGATACTTTCTGCTTCTTTGTTGACTTGGAGATAGACATTATAATACCCAGGTTTATCATGAAGCTCTTCGCCTAGGTCAACTCGGCATTGGAAGAGCTTGTTACTGTTATGATCGCGAGATGGCAACAGGCGAGACCCTGGAGTGACCCCTTTGAACAATTTAGCCAGCAGCTTAGGGTCTTTGACCACTCTGTCGCCGAATTTAGTAAGTGCTCCAGACATTTTAGGGCTTATAGGTCGCCTGATGTTGGCTCAAAGGTCGAGTTAGCACATTTTAGTTATGGAATCTATTGAAAACGTGTTATGTTCAATAGTTCGAGTTTTGCTCGGTACTTCGCTTGTGTGGATAGAGAGAACGAGCTTATGTTTTAAAGCGGACTGAAGCGCTTTAAATACCCCTCACATATTTCCTTCCCCTCTTCAATATACCTGCATAGAAGATCTCAAATTTCGGCAAGGTGCCTCTTGCTTCCTCTGGGATTGGTGACAGGCCCGAATCCTTGATGCAACCAATCATGGCCCACAAACTTCCAGCGTTCACTGTTGGCATAATTGACTTGGCAGTTATTGATAACATTATGATATTATTTCTCGGAATATTATGGCACCTGTGATCCATATACCACCGGCTTCTGGTAAGTTACAAAAGCGTCTAATGATAGATATATTCTCGTGCAGACGGAAAGGAATCTGATCTGCGTGACAGTGTTATATTTATCATTCCTACCCTGGTGAACAATATTCCTGATCTGAACCTCTGGTGCTAAAGGCAACGAGGGCCCCCGTGATCAAGAGGATGACAGGGCTACTCCTTGGCTCGTATTAGTTGGTAGAGGGTCCAAAATAGGAACTGTATGTCCTGCTCGCGTTGGGAGTTTTGGAATCTGATGTCAACATTGAAGTGGATATTATCTTGTTGATTGTCCTCGACTTTTCAAGGTGGGCTTAGCGTCTTCCGTTATGTTTTCCATAGTTCGGCCCAGGGATATATTTGATAGACTGGACGACCTCCTGTTTTATTATTTCGCCATTCGATATACTTGCCGTATTAATAATAAGCTATTAGATGACTAAATAATGAGTCATAAATGCTTCTATTAGTTAGTGCTATGCTATCACGTGATTCGTAATCGATACCATCAGGAAAGACGAGAAAAGGGAGAAGTTGATGTTATTCATAAGGGACGAAGAAGGCATCAAACAGTAATCCTTGTCAGGTTGTTTAGTGTTGTACATGGGTGCAAAAATGTAGAAACCAGGGGAAACCGGAGTCATTCTCATGGCACTCGAAAGTCGCTGAGAACCCCGAAAGCTATCCTGCGGTATTTCCTCACACTGCCCTAGATTAGCCAGGGATACATAAACAAAAACGCCGCTGAGGAGGCAACTATTGGCGTCTTCGGTTGTTGGTCTGTCGGTGGGATGGCTGTGAATCAACCATCATGGCATCACTATAAAGATCAGGCTTTTCTGCATTATGCTGCTGTTGATTTCGTCGTCTGTTGCCTCGCCAGCTTTGGTTTCTGTTGTTGTTTCTACTATCCTGATCATATAAATCCGATTGTTGATGTCGCGACTGTTGTGCTGGATCCTCAAACCCAAAGCGGCCATCTTGGAAATCAGCTGGGCGGCGATTTTCACGGCGCTCTTTGTCTGCGAGCTCACGGCTGTTGTCAAACGCCGACTTGGCCCTGCCAGTAGAAGCTACATTTGACCGAGCTAGGATCGTAGATGCGTCAGCTGTGTCAATTCGAACTTGAATCACCCTTCCATCCGCCTAGATAGCAAGAGTACGTTAACCGGCATGCCAAACAGTATGTATATAAATAAACATAGAAAGTGGGGGACTAATCTAACCTTTTGTGAATTGAAGGCGGCCACGACATTATCAGCCCCCTGTCTCTCAGCAAACACCATCTCTGCAGTTACGGAGGGATACGATTTTGTGATTCTGCATTGTAAGACGTCCCCTCCAACCGGGCTGAATGCAGACTCAATATCTTCTGCCGTCGTACCGGGCGCAAAATTGCTGCCAATGACAACACAAGGGCCAGAGGCACGGCCCTTGATATTCAACCCAGGCTCCTGTGTCTGGACACGATTGGTGTTGTCGGCAAGGAAGCCTGATAGCAGGCGGCTCTCTCGAGTGTGTCGTATATTCGCAGGCTTTGCCTGTTGCTTCTTTACGCCTCCTGACGACACGCGCTGCTTAAGACTGGTCAGGATATTTACTGTCTGATCGGTCACGTTGAAGGAGTAGAACCTTTTCAACTCTACTTGCGAGGCTTCCGGCAACTGGAGATCCCTTTCGGCTGGACGCATTGGATCCTGGACCGCCTGATTTTCTTGCTTTGCCGAAAAATTCATCTGTCAAGGCTTGCTTTTGGCGACGGAGACGGGCTGAAGCAAGGAGAGACAAAACCATTAGCCAGACAAGCTCATCGCCCATAAACATGTATTATCATAGCCCATCACACTCACCATTATGAATAATCGCTTCAAAAGACGCGCTTTCTGCCTCCTTGTCTGGCGCCATCCCTTGAGCCGTTTATCAGCCCTAGAAAAAAGCTGTTGAAAAAGCTATAATTCAAGCAGATCAACGTCACAAATACCCCTGAGTCAGATAAATAACAACGCAATTATTCAACTGCAAAGTCAAAGAGAACGAAGCAGAGCTTGGAGAGGCGAAAGACTTGAAGGACGTTTTTTCTCACGGTTCATGACGACATGAAGTTGCGAACAAAAGAAGCGCCTCAGAGTTGCTGACTCAGCCAGTTTTGGCCTCTTTTTCTATTTCAACTTCGAATATAAAAATGAAATCAATAAACAAGAGAGAAGAGAGATTGACATTTTGAGGCAACGGACTACACACCTCTATACCCCTAAGGCCCTTTGAATAGAGCCATAAACTGCGTCATATTCTAACTCAATGGCAAGCTTGAAAGTACTGTTTATGTGTGCAGAGCCTGGGGCAAGTACAAGGGCTAACCTTGGGTCGCAGCAAACCAACAGGCGAAAGATCCAAAGCTTCGGAAGACACTGACGGTGGGAAGTGGCCATGGCCATTTTATCTTGTCTGACAGCTTCCCCTAAGCAGGCTCGTTTTTCTTTTCTCTTTCTTTTCTTCCTCTAGGTAGTTGTACGCTTACAACTATCTCCACCTGGTTCGTGGAACTGGAGATATTTCTTACTCCTAATATTAATTTTTAATTCATTGCTCTTTTAATTTTATACCTTAAGTTACAGAGGTTGGTGTGGGCCTATCTATATACCAGATCGCGAGCCGGGGGACTAGAAGGATGTCAGTTGGATCAGCTACCTCAGAAGAACTGGTGAAACGCAGCTGGAGTTTCTCCCGGCTCTTTGGGATGCGTTTTGAGAAACAAGCGTCTGTCTCAACTTTTATGAGTTATATATCCTCGTTACCTATACATTGTTTACTTATGCTGTTGATAGGGATTCGCCGCAGGTCCTCCTCACAGGATGCGCAGAGACAGCAGATTGTTCTCCATGCAATACCCAGGATTCACGTCACAGCTCCGAGAGTAAAGCTCGCAATACGCGGGGCAGTCTCCGCTTTTTCTCTAGGCAAAAGAGCCCAGTGCCATCAGATATGGATGTTCCTGCAAAGCAGCCGTTGAGACGAGCTCGCTCCACCTTAGGTTTCTTCAGGGGCACATTCAAGGCAAAGTCATTTTTCAAACATGGAAACATTACCACGAGTCAACATGATCAGAATGTGCCCGCTACAAATTACTCTGACCCACCAGTCGCTGGTTTGGATGCAGAATGCGAGCTGCAGCCAAAATTCGCACCTATACGTCCCGCTACTTTGCTATCTATTCAATCTACCAGGTCACTTGAGGAGATCCGCGGTAACCAGGAATATAACGAACAGACGCGAGACATCATCATGGAAGAGAGTAAAGGCTTAGCTGCTCCAGCACATGGATTGTCAACACAGGACGGCCTAGGTCGACGTATGACCTCGTTGTCTCAGAGGCTCAGAAACTACTTCCATAAAAACAAGAACAACATTCAGTATCACGATGTATGCAGGTCCCTGGACTTCCTATCCATTGATATAGCAACATTAAATTCGTCCTACTTCACAAATTTTGACCATGAGCAGAATCGCAACCGTCTCTCAGCCCGATCTTCCCTCGCCAATACAGTAAGCCATACCTCCACCCTTTCTCTACCCTTGAATGCACACGTTAGCCCTGGAATACCAGATACCTGGACATCGTCACCGCCTGTGAACTCCTATGAAAGCTTGGCTTCTGATGTGGGAACCGCGGTAGATGAGGACTTCGGTGCTGAACTGTGCCGCACTCAATGTCTCGCCGATGGCAACAGCTCTCTCACTCTGGACAATACACGGCTATCATCGTGGCTATCATCCGTCACCTCCAAACTTTTACCTATTAGATCCTCTGTTGACCAAAATACCCAGGCTATAGGAAATTGGGCTCGCCAACAACAAACTTACTCAGAACGCCAAGCCTTACAACAAGAGCTGTTTGCCGATTCTTTGCTGATTTCCCCAGAAGAATATCCTATTGCTGCTCAGAGAGTAATGAGTGGCGCGCTGTCCCCTGAGTCGCCTGGTTTGACACCTTTGCCCGCCATTCATCTCCAAGGGACTCACAGCTCGACGATAAGTCTTTCTCTAAGTACATCGCCAGGGCTACCAACTCACTTGCAATTCATGGTGGAAGCCATCGACAAGACATCAGGAGACTATATGACGGATAGCCGGCAATGCTCTCGCACACGCATTCCGCAAGAACTTGATAAACTGTCACACTTATCAAAAGAGAACGAGGACCCTACCTGGGTTAAATTCTCCAAGCTATGTAGCGAGCGTTCTGCCCAACTACGCACGGATAGAACTCATAATATCCCTGGGAAATCAGAAGCCCATACTACCGTGAATAACAGTTTATTCCAGTCTATTGCACAGGAATCAGGCTCCTGCGGAGAGATGCCTCTATCTACGAGCCATAACCAGCTATCTTCTAGGAGCTTCACGAGGCCCAGGCCTAGAGGTAGTCAGGACACTGAATCACAAATACTCTAATATGGTGAAGTTCAGGTATCAACTTGGCCAAGGCGGCATGCGGGAAAAAACGAGTCTAACTCAGAAGTTAAGTGCAGCCATTATATTGGCTTTGAAGTCTAAACGATGATGGATATAGGAAGAGTTTCTCGCTCAGAACTATAACTCCTCTGCTTGCTTGATGGTTTTGTTACACTTGAGAATATACCACGCAGTTCCCTCTTAGGCGGGATTCTGTTGGATGCACAGTCAGGCGAAGTAGTAATTGAAGGACAGGACGTTTATGTAGTGGAAGCACTTGCTGGCTCGCTCTGGCCGGAAAGATGGAATAATTGGTCAATTGCACTTTGGTGCCTTAGTTATACTTAATGTTTAATAATACCATCGGCTCTCTGTTAGTTTGGTACTGGGTATCAAATGTTCAGGGAGCTACTTTAATAATACTAATCAAGAATAAAAGTTTGGAAACGGCAAAGGAATGCATTTGAATGATAACTCCAACACCTATAAATATATAGCATATGGCAAGGGGGGAAATACCTGATATAATACACGTCCGTGATGATTGACCTAGGTTACAAAAGTAGAGACATTAATAAAACAGTTAGAGGGAAAGGGAAGTCTAGAGCAATAAAATCATTTTATGGGGGTAAGAGGGTGAAAGTGCATGATGGGAGAGTTTTAGAAGATTGGAAGAGTAAAGGGGGAATTTATTGCTTCTTCTCACCCTCACCAGCTGGTGGGGCGTCAGCACCACCCTGTGGTTGCTGTTGTTGGCTCTCCTCGTGACGGGCCTTGTGCATCTTATCGAAGAGAGTGAGGGAAGAGGTCTGGAGGTCATCGACTTTGGCCTTAAGCTCCTCAGCGGACAAGGTGGATTCACCAGACTGGCACTTGGCAACGACTTCTCGGAGAGCAGCAATCTTCTCGGAGATCTGAGTGGCCTCGGCCTTGTCGAGCTTATCTTCAAACTCTTTGAGGGCCTTCTCGGTATCGTTCAAGACACTGTCGGCACGGTTGGCACCCTCAATGATGGCCTTGCGCTCAATATCCTGAGCACGGTAGGTCTCAGCATCATTAACCATGTTCTGAATCTCAGTATCGGAGAGACCGGAGCCGGAGGCAATGGTGATGGACTGGTCCTTGTTGGTAGATTTATCCTTGGCGTGGACGTGGACGATGGAGTCGGCATCAATGTCGAAGGTGACTTCAATTTGTGGGACACCGCGGTGGGCTGGTGGGATACCAACCAGCTGGAAGTTTCCGAGGAGCTTGTTGTCACGGACAAGCTCACGCTCACCCTGGTAGACCTTGATCTCGACAGCAGTCTGGAAATCAGCGGCAGTGGAGAAGGTCTGAGACTTCTTGGTTGGGATAGTGGTGTTGCGGTTGATCAGACGGGTAAAGACCCCACCGAGGGTCTCGATACCAAGGGATAGCGGAGTGACATCAAGAAGCAAGACATCGGTGACCTCACCAGCAAGGACAGCACCCTGGATGGCAGCACCAATAGCAACAGCCTCGTCAGGGTTAACCGACTTGGCGGGTTCACGTCCGAAAATGCTCTTGACGGACTCGGTGACCTTGGGCATACGGGTCATACCGCCGACCAAGATAACTTCTTGGATGTCCTTGGCGGTGAGGTTAGCATCCTTGAGAGCCTTGCGGACTGGCTCAACGGTACGCTGAATCAGAGGGTCAACGAGAGCCTCGAGCTGGGAACGAGAAAGCTTAGAGTTGATGTGCTTGGCGCCAGAAGCGTCAGCAGTGATGAAGGGAAGGTTGATCTCAGTCTGGGAAGCGGAGGAAAGTTCAATCTTAGCCTTCTCGGCGGCCTCACGGATACGCTGAATGGCCATGCGGTCTCCAGAGAGGTCGAGGCCAGACTCCTTCTTGAATTGCTGGACAATGTTACGGACAAGGGTGATATCGAAATCTTCTCCTCCGAGATGGGTGTCTCCGTTGGTGGACTTGACCTCAAACACACCCTTCTGGATCTCAAGGATGGAGATATCGAAAGTACCACCGCCAAGATCGTAGACAGCAATGACACGGTCCTGCTCCTTCTCGAGACCGTAAGCAAGAGCAGCAGCAGTGGGCTCGTTGACGACACGGAGGACGTTAAGACCAGCAATTTGACCAGCATCCTTGGTAGCCTGACGTTGGGAGTCGTTGAAGTAAGCAGGAACAGTAACAACACCGTTCTTGATGGGCTTGTTGAGGTATCCCTCAGCTGTCTCCTTCATCTTCTGGAGGATGAAACCACCAATCTGAGAGGGAGAGTACTTTTGGCCTTGAGCCTCAACCCAGGCGTCACCGTTGGTGTGCTGAATGATCTTGTAGGGAACCTCCGAGAGATCTCTTTGGCACTCCGGATCGGTGAATTTACGACCAATCAATCGCTTGGTAGCAAAGAGAGTGTTCTCCGGGTTGACAACGGCTTGACGCTTAGCAGCAACACCGACAAGTCTCTCGCCATCCTTGGTGAAAGCAACAACGGATGGAGTGGTTCGTGTTCCTGTATCATTTCGTCAGTACATTAGTCAAATAATGTAACACGGTCCCTTTTTTTTTTGTTGGCTTACCTTCAGAGTTTTCCATGATCTTTGGGGTCTTTCCCTCCATAACAGCAACGGCAGAGTTGGTGGTACCTATGAGCAGTCAATTGTTAGTTAATGCTTCCCATCGGTGTATTTCTTCTCAGATATATGTTGTATATGGCATACCAAGATCAATACCGATGACCTGGCCCTTCACCTTCTCCTCACCACCCTCTGTCGAGTTCCATCTTCTGAATGGAATGGATGGAGCTCTGAAGGCAGGAGAACGAATGAACTGGGTTGGAACGCGAGGAGCCTGTGTATCGAGATGTCAGTATAACAATTGATGAGCTTTTGAGAGCTCTTGCGAGCTCCCTTGCAGCTTTACTTACCGCGCGACAGATTCTTGAGGCAATCATTATGAGTATGAGAGGAGCTAATTAAATAGATAACAAGAAGTAAAAAGGAGTAATTGATACAGGCGAGGAAGAGTGAACAAGCTAGAGGGAGAGAAGGGGGTTATCGATGACGGACGAAGGGTGTCGAAAGGGAAGATGAAGATGTTGAAGATGTAGAGAGAAAAAGGAAGCTGCGAGAAAAATTTTCAAATAATAAAAAAAAAAAGAAGAGATAAAAGATAAGCCGCTAGTCCTTATCAGGTAAGGCGGTCCGTAGAAACCGGCAGAAAAAACTTATGCTTGGCGCTGAGTCATATATATTAGTCAGCTACATACACGTGATATATAACGTGATCAAGCTCGGGCCAACCAACTTTTCCCCAGCTTTTATTTTTTTTTTTCTTTTGCTTCCGTCATCGAGCTCGCCTTCGACCAAGAAGAAGAGACACACAACGAGAAACGGGGAGAGAGACAACAAAGGAGGAATCACGAACTTGTTGACGGTCACATACTCAGATACATCGATCGTTTAGGGCTGCATCTACCGAGTCTACCTTTTGTTTTTCGTGGGTGCGAGCTCGAGGCACGCGAGTCTTGCCTAGGCCGGCCAACAAACCCCCCCATGTACTCCCCTCCGCCCGTCTACCATGGCTCTCGATACGGAGTTACTGTGCGTATAACTATAGCTGTGTCGCCCTTGTGGGATGTTTGGCCGCTTGCATCTCTTTCTGACGATGTTTATTTGTACAGTTATCGACCCACTGAATCCCTTCTCTCGCCCAGCGGCCGGCGCTTCTTCCCCTTTAAGATCCCCAATACGTCAGTGTACACCCCCATCCTTAGATCCTGCTACTGGATTCACGGCTGGGACGCAAATGTAGAATTAATCTTTAGGAATTGGTTGTTGACTTTGCATTACCCGAGATTAGACACCACCAGCTTCGTCACTATATCAGTACAGCCGACCCTGATAGGATATATGTCGCCGTTGGGAGGATAATATACGCCATCCATATCTCATCGCAGAAGAGAGAAATTCTCACTATTGTTCCCTTCGACCCGAAATGTTTGACTGCCGGAAATGGATGGATTGGCGTAGGTGGCACGGAGAGTGGGGATTGTGCCTTTATTAAGCTGGACCAGGGCTTGCAGGGCCCCGAAACAGCTGTGCCCGGCTCTCCCGTTGATGTTGACTCGCCATTACCTCTCGATCTGGATACACCTATACCGAGGAGAACTCTCCCTTACCCGCCCAGTGAGCACTGCTTCTATCGTTTTCCCGCTAAAGGCTGGGGATCTAACTGTTTCTAGATGTCAGTGTGCGGGAACTTGGGGGCAGCATAGTCAATTCTGTGACTATTCACCGACTCCCGTCTATCGGAGATGATTTCGTTGATGAGGATATTGCGGTATTGAGGTGAGTCTAGAATGGAAGTTCTGAGTGAAGTATAGCTGACTTAACGATACAGCAACAACGACACGACTGTGAGCATTTTCTCACTCCCGCGAATGGAAGTCATCGAGACAATCCGTCATCCCGTATGCATGAATTTTGCCATCATATCACCTGATTCAAGGCTGCTTGCCGCAGTAGGCGACGAAAACAGAGTATACTTTTACCGTGTCATTCCTTCGGACAAGCAAACCGCAGTTTCAGTAGATGGGAAAAAATTACTCCGCGAGTGGAGCTGGCCACTGCTCCGAAGCGTTGAACTAGATTCAGATCCCAACTACGATGACCGTTGTTGCTTCACCATCGCATTTTCCCCGTCTAGCCACCTCTGCGCTGTTGCATCACAGGCTGGCGTTATCACAGTATTTAGCGTCAACGACATATTTAGGCCTGACCCCAATGGAAGGTCTGGACGAGAGGATATTCTTTATGTCTTTAGATCCTCGAGATCATGCTTTGATGGCGGTGCTATCCGCTGCATGACTTTTTCCCCGGAGCCCTGGGATCTCTTAGTTTGGGTTGAAGACCATGGACGTGCTGGGGTAGCAGACGTCCGTCAAGACTTTTCCAGGCGCCAAATTCTAACTCTCGATATAGACGAACCGGGACTTGAGCGTGTCAAGACCGACAATCTCGACAAACCGGAAACAGAATTAGAATTGGATGTTGATCTTCATAGGCCAGATTCTGCCGTAAATCAAACTTGGGCACACAGATTAAACGAAACGGATGATCCTTTACAGCGCGGCATCGACTCTAATCGCTACCGGCGTAGAGGAACCACAGCCGAGGCGGAATCCCAAATAATGCGCGATAGTCTGGCCCGTGATCTAACCGCGAGAGAGCGACAGATTATTGATTTCTTAAATACAGCGCGCTGGGCGTCGTCTATTGAAGAAGGCCCCCAGAGACTTCCGCATCTAATTAGCCCCTTACCTTATGCTGCCTCGTCCACATACCAACAGCGAGCCGCAAGCCAATTTTTAGGCTCATCACCGCCTCCGCCTCCTCCACCTCCGCCCCCAGATCATTATATCACCCGCAATGAGCCGTCTCGGAATTCAGACAGACCCCGAACAGGAGCTCCACGAAGACGCAACTCCGTGGTCTTATCCCAGGACAGCTCATCCCGCCCAAACGTACATACCTCTTCCGCATTAATTCCTCACCCTGGCATTTCGTTAAGGTGGCCCTATTCGCCAAACCAGGTGCCGGCGCCCAACGATGACCCGGAAACTTTGAGTATGGAAGACGACTTCCCGCGCATCCCATCCCCCAACCAAGACGGGGTGCAAACCGGTCCATCCAACTCTAGTCATCGCGGCTCGAGAGGACCTCAGCCAGAAGATGCGGCATCCAGCAGCAGCCGCCCAACTACAGGGCAGCGCCAACGCCTTACGCGCTCACGATCAATTCCTCGTCGCGTCGATAGAGTCGCTCGTGCCCCTGGTGAGCGTCTAGAGCCACGCAATACAAATGACTCCGAACTAAGATCCACGCTAGCTGCGGAGCGTCTACGAGCGCAACGACAGGCCGCTGTGGAAGAGAGCCAACGCCTCAGTGAGTGGGAGCAACAATACCGACGTGTCTTTAGAGCTTGACAACATCCGATCAAGTCCCAGAGTCCGGAACCTTCCCGGTGAAGTAAACGGTAGTCGGGAATCAGGATGGGGCGTCGGGACTGCTGGCGTTGGATGGAGTGAAGATGGACGGACCTTGTGAGTATTTTCTTTCCAGGCTTTACATCTCCCTATCACTAAGCCGTAATACTAACGCACATAAAGATATGTTGTTACGGTACAGGGATATTCGGATACCACATTAACGTGCTAGATCGGAAAACTTTCTCAGCCTTCTCTTGCAGGTAGAATA